CGCGCCCCGCCGTGCGGAGCGGCCACGCCAAGGCCCGGCCAGCCAGCAGGTGAGAGCTTGGCTGCTGCCAAATGCGCTTTTCTCATCCCATTCCTTGCCCGTGCTCTGCTCCAACCCATACCTGTAGCAAGTTTGAGGCATTTGAAACCATTGAACTGCAGCTGGAGAGACTTAGGGATGGGGGAAAGGCCTTTGGGTTTAAGGGACGGAAGAGTAATAGGCTTGAGGACAACTGTTGTGTGATGACTGGTTGACAGCCGGCTGAATATGAGCCAGCAGTGTGCCCAGGCAGCCAAGAAGGCCAATGGCATCCTGGCTTATATCAGGACTGGTGTGGCCAGCAGGAGTAGGGAAGTGATCGTGCCCCTGTACTCGGTGCTGGTGAGGCCACACCTTGAATAACGTGTTCAGTTTTGGGCCCCTCACTACAAGAAAGACTTTGCATTGCTGGAACATGTCCAGAGGAGAGCAACAAAGCTGGGGAGGGGTCTGGAGCACAAACAAAGCTGGTGAGGGGTCTACAGCACAAGTCTTATGAGGAGCAGCTGAGGGAACTGGAGTTGTTTAGTCTGGAGAAGAGGAGGCTGAGGGGAGACCTTATCGCCCTCTACAACTACCTGAAAGGAGGCTGTAGGGAGGTGGGGGTCGGCCTGTTCTCCCTGGTAACAGATGAAAGGACGAGGGGGAATGGTTTGAATTTGCACCAGGGCAGGTTTAGGCTAGACATTAGGAAGAACTTCTTCACTGAAAGGGTTGTCAGGCTCTGGAATGGGCTGCCCAGGGAGGTGGTCGAGTCTCCATCCCTGGAGGTACTTAAAGGAAGGATAGATGAGGTGCTTAGGGACATGATTTAGTGGTGGGATGTCAGGGTTAGGTTAAAGGTTGGACGTGATGATCTTAAAGGTCTTTTCCAACCAAAGTGATTCTATGATTCTATGATTCTGATACCTTGGAACATCTTGATGTAGCTTCTGTAAGGCTTCTGTTGCACTATAACAGCATTGTCTTGAAGCCTCGCATTGATTTCAATGTACTGTGTTGGTCCTTAGAAATCAAATAGTTTTTAATTATTTTTGTGTTTGTATTTGGCACCTCCTTTCCAGCCTTTCTGAAAGGTTAGAAAGAGACTCTTGCCTGATGTCAGTTGTCTTTAAATCCCTGGTGATGCTGCTTTTTGACCTGTGCACGCCTGTTAAATATAGTTCGGTGTAGGCATCCAGCCAGTAGCTTTATCTTCCAAGAGAAGAACCTGCCTCTCTCTGAATTGTCTCCAAATAGTAATTCTTTGTGCATTTTGAATTACCAACCCCCTCCAAACCCATGTTCCTTAAACATATGTACACACCACCGCTTTCAAGTGGCCGAGGGGCAGCTGTGAACGCTGCGGTCGCCCCTGCACAGAGGTGGCGGCAGCCCATAAGGCTGCCCATAATGCCCATAAGCCCATAATGCAGCTACAAACCTATGTGACGTGGCAATTCGGGGCTCATCTTTGTGATTCTACCAAAAGCTTGGATTCCTTCGGTAGAAACGGTTGACGGTGCTGGGGAGTGTCTGTATGTGTTGTCGCTGGCATGTATCATACCCCTCCAAACGTTTTTAGTTATTGCTATTTATCCCACAGGTTGCTTTTCTTTCTTTTTTAACATGCCCTATCCTTCTGGAAGCACCAGTAGAAGAACAATGTGATTTGGTCTCTTTGCGAAACACATGCTTATGTGAAGTTCTATCATGTATCAGGGTTTTTTTCTGAAGGGCAGGGATATTCTCGTGGTTCTCAGCCAAAAATTTTACACTTACACAAATTTAGGACCTCTCCACTTGCACAGATCTCTCTAGTGGCCCCTGGAGCTTTATGCTGACCGTTCAAAATCTGCTGTTTTCCCTCCTGGGTAAATGCTGGTTTGGAATAGGATATTTTCCCAACTGGCTCAATGTCTTTCACATGCCCTTTCCTCACAGCGTTGCTGTCTCTTGAGATAATTTGATCCCGGATAGTAACTTTGTCATTTTGCCTATTTCTGTAATAATAATACTGTAAAAAGTCAGTCTTTTATTGAGCTTCCTGGCAAGATTAGAAAACAGAGACAGTATTGTTATTACAGAAGTAGGTAAAAATGATAAAGTTGCTGTGCAGAACTTGCCAGAGCACCTGTGTGCCTCAGGCAGGAGCAGGTCTGGTGTTCCCAGAGTCTCCAGGCATGGAGCTCTGAGCAGTGGTGGTCTCCGGTCTTTGTAAATGAATGGTAGGGCAGGCAGGTCAACAAAGGAATGGGAAATCAGTTGAGAAAATTCATCTAACAGAATGGAAGGTATTGATCTTGTATTCACTGATGGCTCAGCCACGTTGGATCAATACTGAATCTTTTTTTTTTTTCCAATTTGTGTATCTGCATTTATAATGTTAAGGTTATAATGAGGCAAAGTTAGCATAATTCATTTTGATATTTTCCCCTCCCTATGCCTCATCCAATTCACAAGCATTTTGTAAAACGCATGCTGAATTGAAAACAGAGGCTTAAGGAAGCTGCTTAGTTCCACGAGCACAACTTGTCTCCTTTTAACGCGGTGTCCTCTTGAACCAAAGGTGGGCTGCACAGCCTGTGTCAGCATGCCCAATCTGCCATCATCTGCGGGCAGCCTGTCTGAGCTGCAGATGAACCCAGCCAGGGGTGCCAAGACACCCGAGCTGGCTCTGCAGGCTGGCAAGGTCCATTAGCCTGGAATGACAGAAACTGCAATACAGAGCCCCATCACTGTTCTTTTTCTTTAATGGGGCAAGATGAGTACTCAGGCAGGAGTAACAAATGCCGCACGAGTGGAGCTGGTGCTGTGCAGAGGTATTTGATGCTGTCTCCAGCATCTCCTGCACCGCTTGCGGCATTCGGAGCACACAGCCCAGGACACTCTATAGCAGCTGTCCGACACTCTTTTGTTCACTGATCCTTGTTGGGAACTTAACAGACATAGTTGAATTTTAGCCATTTAAGGGTGGATGGCACCTTGCTTCCTTGATACATCTTCTACAGTTTTGTTGTGTTAATACCTAAAAACTCTGGTTGAAGGATCCTGCTACTAAAAAAAGTGCAGAGCAAAATATTATGCTACTGATTTACAGTGGAACTGGTGGAGATGAAAGATAGCACTGCTTGGCTATTCATTTTACAGTTAACTTTCGACCATCGGGCATGATGTTAGGGTCTGTGTACTGCAGAGCCCGGGTGAAGCAGTCAGGCCTGTGGTCCTAAGCAGGTCAGTCCAGAGCCAGTGTGGTGCTGTGCTTCTGAAACAGAAGATTAGGTTTTTTACAGTACTTTCAGCATTAATTAGGGGAACTGAAGAAGGAGATACTGGTAGCATGGAAACCAAGGAAGTTTGTTACTGACTATTTTTGGCTTCGATGCAGCTTTTCATTTCTTTCTACTGAAATCTGGCAGGCCAGTGGAGCACTGTTTTCCCTGGAAAGGTAAAACTGCTTTTTTGGCTGCCACATTGTTACCACAGCACCTCAGAAATAACTGGGATCCAGCTTTTACTATAATTACTGTGTTTTAGTCACGTCTCAGGTAATAAGTATTGCATATTTCAATGCCGGCTACATGATGTAGTCAGTGTTTGAATGCCCAGATTAGCTGGGTATAACCTGTATGGTAGGAATCTTTGAAGTTAGTAGGTGGGGATTTTACAGGGCAAACTAGAACAAGCTCTGGGATTTAGAGAGTCTGACTCATTACAAATAACCTTTCCAAGACAGTTAGAACTTGTCTTTTCGGGTAATGTATCTTGCATTTAAATGTGTTTTAAACAGTGTACAGTGTTTAAAGTAGGAGAGCCCTTCTCTTCTCCAGACCGTCCCTACTTAGGACGAGGGGAAACGGCCTCAAGCTGCACCAGGGCAGGTTTAGGTTGGGCATTAGGAAAAATTTTTTCACTGAAAGGTCTGTCAAGCACTGGAAGGGGTCGAGTCCCCATCCCTGGGGGTATTTAAAAGCCAGGCAGACATGGTGCTTAGGGCCAGGGTTTAGTGGTGGGATGGCAGGGTCAGGGTAATGGCTGGGCTTGATGATCTTAAAGGGCTTTTCCAACCCGAACGATTCTATGGTTCTACTCCAAGAGACAGTTCTGTTCTGCCTGCATGGCTTGAACTAGAGGGAGAAACGGGTGGCCATGTCTAGTGAACTGGTTTTTTTTCTAATATACAGGCTATAACCATTTTTTTATTCTTCTTTTCTTTCCCAGCAGCAACCCATATCACAGCAAGCTTCTCTGCAGCAGGTTCTTGCCAGCCAGACGGTTTGCCCAATCCAGCCTGCAGCCCATCTGTTGCCCCAGTATCAGCCCCAGACCTCTCAGGTGGCAGCTAGCAGCACACCACTAAAACCCCTTCAGATTTCAACTGTGCCACAGCTTCCGCCCGTGGCCCCTTCCCAGGTAATATCTTTGAAAACTGTGTGTCAATACAGCCATTTGAGTAAAGCTTTCCAGCTAATAATTAACATGATTTGCGGTTTTTGCGTGGCTATTTTGAATGCATGCCCATTTAATTAGTCCACAATAATACAGTTTTTTCCTAATTCCTGTATATTCCTTTCTGTTTGTTTTTGTTTGGTGAAGCAAAAATCTCCTTTGTGAATAATCCTGTGTGACGCAGTTTAAAATTGCAATAACTGATTTTTGGATTTGGTGGGCTTTTTGGTGTTTTTTGAGGGTTGGTATTATTATTATTATTACTACTACTACTACTACTACTACTACTACTACTACTATTACACCTTCCCCTTGCGGCATACTCTCTTCGCCATCACAGGCTTAAGAGCATGAGAAGTTGCCCATTTTTAGTCTGTTCCTGAGCTCCTGACTGCACCACATTTCCCCAGCACCCACCTGCCCCCCTCCCGAGCTCTCAGCCCTGTTTCTGTTTTCAGTAGCAGGGTCGGACCCTCTCCTTGGCCTGGAAGGGTTTGCTGGTGCTGTTAGTGTGCTGGCTGGCAACAGCCACCACGATGCGGAGCAGCTTGCGCCAACGGGAAGAAGCAAGCTGCTTCTGTGATGATAGGGTGGTTACAGTCTGCTGCGTCACTGGGAGGTTTTGATTGTAAAAACCCTTTTATGGGATCTTCCATGCTGCCTGGGTTGCAGCCAGCCCGTTTAAAGACAAGGGTTTTAAATTGCCTTACTGAATTTTGCATGAAAGGGGTTTGGATTTTGTCTGGTCAGATTCCTTTTCATTTCGGTTAATATGAAAGCAACTTTTAATTAGTGTGTTGCTTCAAGGCTTCAAGCTAGTGTTAGGAGTAGTTTTAAGCTTCTAAGGTGTAAAAACGTCCCCCTGAAATGAAATTCTTTCTCTTTTACTAATGATGTGAGCATAAATCGGGTTTTATTGCTGTTTATAAACCTCAGGAAATGAATGGAAGTGGTTAGCAAACAGACATAATTATCATCACGGCACAGGTGACTTACGTACTTGTATGGCAAATGAAACGACTTTGTACCATCAGTGAAAGCACTTGCAATTTATGTGATATTATATTTTTTTCAGATTCCTCAGTTTCCTGTCATTCCTGCAATTACTCCTCTGGCAGGACTTGACAGCCTTCCTCCAAACCTCTCTGATATACCTGCGGCAAACGTACCCCCCATACCTGCTCCTTCTCAGTATTTTGCTCCAGCCATGATTTTGCCCAGCCTCCCCATGAACCCCACCTTGCCCATGGCACCAAACTCCCCTGCCCTCCCCATGCAGGCAGTCAATCTTCCTCATACAACTGTGGCTTCTTTGGTCTTGCCCTGCCAAACAATAGTGCCAAATATGTCGGCTGCTACGATACCATTGCTTGCTGTGGCTCCGCCGGGAGGGCCAGCGTTGCCACCGCACCACGGGGTGCCCCAGCTCCCCCAGCAGCAGATGTACCAGACCACCTTCCAGCAGATCATTCAGAGCGAAGCTCCCTCTCCCCATCACACGCAGAGCACGCAAGCAGTGCCCCAGCTGCAGCAACCTCCACCTCCTCAGTCACTCCAGCCAAGCATAATTCATCCTTCAGAACAGACTCTGTCCGCGCCTGGGGCTGGTCACCAGGTAATCTGCTGGGTGTGGGGCTGCGCTGATACTGGACCGCAGGGTGGTTATGGAACGCAGGCGTTCCCGGGGCTCGCTCCGTCGCAAACACGCAGTGGGGAGGCTTTTTTCCCTTGCTCTTAAGACGTTAACTTCTGGACCTCGGTCCCCGAGGTGGTTGCAGAGCTGTGAAGTCGGGTGGAGCAGGTTGAGGTCTCAATCCAGAGGCAGGTGAATATGGAGGGGATGTAGGGAATAATCTCAGGCTTTAGCAAGTGGGCAAATGAGAGCACTTTTTGAATTCCCTCTTCCTTCTCCTATCTCCAACACGAAAGAAGGACGAGCTGTCGTTGTCCTGAGATGGGAGAAGGGGCTGAGCGGTGACGGCAGCTGCACAGCCGGGCCGATGCCGGTGCCTTTCCATGATGCATACGTAGGCTTTTGTGTGCTCGCGGCAAAACAGGGGCGAGCTGGCAGGAGTGAGTGAGCTGGTAGAGTTGTTTTGATGTAGAACTGCTTTCAAACAGAAAAGGGAAACAGCCCTTTGGTAACACTTCCAGAGGACTGAACAGAAGGGGTCTATCGGACAAGAATGCATTCTTGCTGCAGACCCTTCCCCCCCTTAAAAGAAATGAAGCATAAAATGGAGCTTCTAATATGGGCACTATTTACAAGAGACCTGGTTCAGGACTTGTTGACAGAGTCTGTGAATGCCTCTATTGCCACATCTGTGGTGTGACAACGTGAAACGCAGTCTGACCCAAGTGGGAGAGAGAACTAAATCTGTTAAGAATAGCATTCTTGGGAATCTGTGTTCTACTACATCACTTTCCCATAACACATTGATTAAAATTCATAACATCCCATTCCAACCTGCTATATCATGGCATCTTCAAAGTAGTACATCATTTATAAATTCCTCTCTTCAGCCGTGTATTTGGTACAGAAATATTGTTTATGAAAATGTCGGCAACACGGAGGCCGAGGCAGTTACCGCTGAGCTCGTTAGCCAGGGTGTTTTCAGTGGCTTTGGAGGGAATTGAATCAGGCCCATTAGGCACGGTAAGCATTGCAAACACCAGAACTGGAGATCTGATATTCCCAAGGAGTCCCGACACAGTCATTATTGATCAAATATGTGTGGAAGAATTGCATAGCAATTTTTTTTAGCATAAAAAATGGCTATAACAAACAAAACAGACCAGTGCAGGGGGCTATTCAAAAATACGTTGTTCTATGTTTTAAAGTACTTTTTAGAGAGGTGTTTCTGGAAAGAAAGGCTTTCCAATACACTGCTGTTTTGGAAGTTGATGTTTAGCACCTCTGAGTTTAGTTTTTCCCAGGCAAATTGTACATTGAAGATTTTTTTTATTTAAATTTCACTGCTCTTCTGCAACATACACTGCAACTACTATTCTAACAGCCTCCACTTAGGCAGGCGTGTAACTGTTACGTGTTGTGAAGCACACTGCATATTTATTTTTATCCATGTTAAAACCTGGAATAATAATTTCGGCTCCTATCCAGAATCTGCAGAGAGCACATAGTAATGAAGTTGTGCGGCCTAGTTCTAATCTGAGTCTGGATTTTTTTTTTTAATATATTTTCCAAATAATCTAAATCTTCTGGTGATGATACTTTAAAACAAGAATTAGGCAGAGTTTTACCTAGTACTGAAAAGCCTTTTTTCTTCCTTTTTTTTCCCTTTCTTTAATTTTTCTTCTTCCCACAAGCTCAGTCCCCTTGGAAAAATACATCATGTACCAAAAAGGAGAATGTTCTGTTCTTAAATATACAACTCAACAGAACTGTTGTGCGGAGTAACACCACAGTCTCTAAGGTAGCCGGCATCTAATCGCATCGCTCCAGTTCCCACAAAGCACTTACACACATGAGTTATTTTCACGCACTGAAGAAATCCACTGAGATAAATGAAACTTCCTCTGTGCTCATAACACAAGGAAGCATTTGGAGGACCAGCACCTTGGTGCTAAGCATGTCAGGAGTTAAGTTGTGTCTTAAATGTTTAAACTAAATGAAAACCAATGTCTTCCGTAAGGCACTGGTGTATATTCTGTAAAAAAAGAGTTAATTGTGTGGTCTATACCGCCTGCTGGTCCTACATGTAAAACAGATTTTTTTAAAAAAAATCCTAATTTAGATTATGGGTAGAGTACATTTTTCTCTCCACAGACATTGTGGTATGCTCATTGAAAGCAGAGCAAACTATTCAGGACAATGAATTCATAACCTAAGATTTTGATTTCTTAGCAAAATATGGCTTTGTTTCTACAAATTAAATAGCACCTGAGCACTACACACGTTGTCATAATTATATAGGAAGAATCCTTAGGTTTTTATTTGGTTGTTTCAAAGCAAGTTTAAACTCCGAAGTGGTTACCTTTCCAAGTGGAGACCACACAAATCCAGTCTCACCGCAGGATTACAATCCTTTTTCCGTCAACTCCGGTGGCTTTGGTACCTTGGCATGTAAGTGGCAAGCTCTCTATGCAGAGATTTGTTTTAATAGCTGTCTGTTGTGTTACAGCAGATGACGGGACACACTCAGTATGCTTTGGAAGCTGGAGCCCAGGTGCCTGTGCTGCCTGTGCAACCTTCGATAGTCATGTCACCGCCTTTGCAGTTGCAGCCTGAACTGTTGCCTCCCCGCGTCGCTCCAGAAGGCGTTGCACAGGTTCACGGCAGCCTCACTACTGCTAGTCCGCCTGTCCCCATAGATCACTTCCCGCCTCCTCACGCCTCTGGGGAAGGCGTTGCACAGGTTCACGGCAGCCTCACTACTGCTAGTCCGCCTGTCCCCATAGATCACTGCCTGCCTCTTCAGCCCTCTGGTCTGCTGCAGCTTCAGCCCGATCTTTCCCAGCCGCTGGGTCAGCAGCTCCCAGCTCCCGGCTCAGCTGTCCAGGCAGTCGCAGAGGCATCTCAAGAGGTAGAGCCATTTCCTCTGAAGTAACTCTCCAGCTTCACCCTAAGACTTTCCTCTTTGTGAAATAATGGACTTATTTCACAAGGGAGATGGTCCCCGCTCACCAGGTAGAGATGCTCGTCCTGGGTGCCAGCAACTCTGGGGCAGCAAAGAATTGGCTATGTTCAGATGAAGCTGGAAACTGCATGTTGTACCTGGTGAAGTGGCTCCTTGAAGTAATGAGGCAGCAGAACTGAGTACCTCTTTGGCCATAGCTGAGCACGAACACAGGGCTAGAAATTACTTTAAGTGCTGTGGGTCAGTAAGAAGCTGTTCTGTGGAGGTTCATCCATGTTTTGTCCAGTCTCGTTTAAAATGTCTCGAGCACATGTGCAACTAACCATCATTTGCCTTAAGAAACTATTGCATAATCTGATTCTTCATTATGTAAAAGTTCTTCATGCTCCCCAGCTCGAGCTTTTTTTCCCATTTCTTTTAGCTTTGGATCCTCCTGTATTGCCTGAATTCTAGTCTAGCCCTGGGATTTTTGTTTCTTCAGTTATTTGTAGGCATTCCCAATTCTCAGTGGTCATATAAGCAAGATGCATTTTATTGTTTTTCTTTATAATATAAGCTGTCAGCTCCTCCTGTCTGTTATTTTGACTTTTCTTTCCACTCCCATAATTATTTAACCTTCAGTCTTGACAGAATGTCACAGAACGCTTCCTTCTCTTCAACTCTTTGATAGATATCCATAAGCAAAGCAAAACAGAGGGTTTGGCATTTGGCATTTCAGTAAATAAGTCTAATTTGTTCTCTGCCTCTGAATGGAAATGTCCCTCAGTGGTTCTGCTTTCAGAATTGTTCCTCTTGAGGCTGTCTCATCTCAGCTACCCTTCCCCAAAGTAATAGTTTCCATCTTTTCAAACTAAATCTTTCTTTTTTCTTTTCCCTTTGCTTCCATGCACTTGTCACATGCCTTGACTACACAGTACAGCCTATAAATGTCGTTAGAGCTACAGCTTAACTCGTCTTCCAGAAGATGCTCAGTAAGGGTGCTGCTAACACTAAAACTAGATTCTAGTTCCCTGTTTTCCCTTGTCCTTCTAGCGGCACTCTAATTCTTGTCAAACAAATACGCGTACGGAGATACAGGATAGCTCCTGGGGAATTCCTGTATCCTCTGGGTTAGATACAGCAGGAGTGGTAGAACCAGTCCATAGCACTTCGCTTGCGGAATCCCCTGGTGCAGCCCGGCTGTGTCAGGCACATCCCTTACTCAAGGTATTTCTCCTCCAACTGCCCGTTTTCTGTGTTCGCAGCTCCTGGCAGGTTCAGTGCTGATGCTGAAGCTACAGCCTTCAACGTAGGGTCCATCCCATTAGAGATGCTGGAAATAAGAATAACCTTCGTTGTTACTGTGCAGTGTGGTAGGGGAGATGCAAGTTGTCCTGTATTACGTGAGAAGTCCGTGCCCGCTGAGGCACGTGCCTGTCCTGTCACTTTATCATATCCCTAGGGACATTAACTGCTGTTTTGCTAACATCATTCATCTGTAGCTAACTCCCTTCCCAATATCATAGGATGGTCATATCAACCCAATATCATAGGATGGTCAAAATGATCAACGTGCTCCCCGTGGTGATCTTATGACATACATTGCTAAGGTTTTCTTGGGTGTAAGAGGAGTTTCATACCTGTATATATTCAAAACACTGCATTTTGTTGCTACTCTGCCGTGACACTTCTATCTTTTGTTTAAATGTGTGGCAGAAACCCATGGCAAATCAATCTGAACTGACTGGGCAAATGACATTTTGTAAGGCACTTGATTGAGTGCGTTACTAAAATTTAGATACATTATGTCTGTGTTCTCACTGTTCATTAATTCTGCAGTTTTAGTGAAACTGCAGTCAAGCTTGGCATGGCATATGTGTGGCATTATGAGCAGTTGGGGCGGGGGTGGCCGGCTGACCGCTGAGCTTTTCACTCCAGTCTACTGACTGCTTTGGTATTAAGGTGTCATGATGACGGTCAAGGGGCTCGCTTCTAGCTGTGTGTCTGTAGAAGCATTTTGTAGATGTATGTTTGTCAATATATATATTAAATATATATAAAATTATATATATTTATTAATATATTGGGGGTGTATGTATATACATGGAGTTATATACATGCACGGGGGGTGTGTGTCTGTGTACATACATGGTAAGTCTGCAGCAGGGCCAGTAGCACCAGCATCGCAAATTCTGTGAGAACAGGTCTACCCGATGGGAAAGTCACGTTCTTGATGCCTGCCCTGGCATTGCAACCAGGGAAGAGGGAAGCTTTTAGGGAAAATTTCTGTTGTGTAGAGAGCAAGAGGACATGATGTGAGCGCAGTGTTTTTAAATGATGACTTTTCATCTTTTATTTGTAAGTTCCCCAGAAATTTTCCCAATAAGCCAAATACAATGAAAACACGTAACATGTTTCAGGAAACTATACAAAGCAGTGAAGCAAATTAGCTTCTACTTTAGATCCATTTAAAAAAAAAAAAAAAAGGTGCTGATGTGGATTTGTCCTGCAATCAAGTTTTTCTATTGTGGTGAGGAACTGTTTTGTTTCCTTCGCCACCTCTTCTGCTTTAGAGACAGAAGGGGACCAGCAGATTGGTGCCTGTCTTAAACAGTGGCTGTGCACAGGTATTGATGCTTTGGACAGAATAAATGTTGGGAGGGTGCGATGGGACATTTATTTTTTTTTGAATTCCAAGAACTGGTTAAACAGAATGCTTTAGGATTACTGGGGTCTCAACGGCAAAGCTTTCTTAAAAGTGTTTTTCATCTGCCAATATAATGCATTTACTTAAATGACTTTTTCTTACATTTTAGGAGCAGACAATACAGGACAAACTTCAAACTCTGTCACAGAGCTGTGAAAGGTATCATTGTAATCTCTTTGGCATAAGAAATGTTTTCTTTCAAGGCTGTTTTTCCTCTCTCTCTTTACAAGGCTGAGATTTTGCCTTAGCTGAGGAAAGAGCAGCAGGAGCTGACCGGGAGATGATGGAAGGGTGCAAGTCTAGGGAGAAAGCTACAGATACTCGGTGTGCAGTGTGCCTATTTTGGCTCCTCCAGCTCTTTTAATTCTTTAGTTGGGGTGCTGCATCCTAGCCTTGATGTATGTACAACAGCTTTCATTTCAGCACGTAACCTCTTTTTGTTAACTGAAGTGGTGCAGCCCCTGATTTGGATGCTGTTGAATCCGTACAAGGCATGCCACGCTAGTGTAACTGGGTATGTGGTTTATTCCCTCTTCGGACTGGGTGTGCCCATATCGCCTTCTGTAACAGTCTTTCCCTGGGTCTGTTGTGGGGAACGGTGCACTGGTAAGAGTTGTGTGTTGGGCCACTCAAAGCTATCATTACAGCAAGCGTTAGAACGTGTAGGCAAGGCCTGTTCTGTGGTTTTGCAGTGCACAAGGTTGCACTCGAGCCTAGTAGCTAATTACAAAACTGGTGATAAATAATCTCCAGAGCCAGCTCAGCACTCCTCAGAAATTAAAGCAAATTTCAATTTTTGCCAGCCCTCGTCTGCCTGTTTCTGTACTCAGAAGCAGCAGGGGAAGCAGCAAGGTTTGGAGGAAGCAGTGAGGAAGAGCTCTGGAGAGGAAGGCTCGCTGCTGGGCCTGAGAGGGGCTGATGGGGGGGGCAGTGGCTGCTGCTTTGGGGGCTGGACTCTCCTCCCCAGGCATCTGCTGCTCCCGTGCTACAGCTCCCGCTTTGGCACCAGCAGTCAGCCAGGTTTTTCAGTGTTTGGAGATGCATAAGGCAGATAGGAACAGTGTTCATCAGCAGCTGAATGCTGTGCCTTGTTGCAGGAGCCAGCACCAACTTCGTCCTCTTTGATTATAAAGCTTTGGGGTTAGGATTTTAGTGACCCTTTTCTATCTTCCTGAGATGAGTTAAGCTTCTGAACTTTGAAGACACCTCTCTTACTGTTTCTATTTTACCCTACCAAAAAAGTTAGCCTGACACAAGTCAATGTAACCCCATGGCCTTAAAATGGAAGCTTTTTTTCCCAAGGATTTGCTGCTTTTAAACACTGCATGGAAAGTGAAATCTTATTTTTCTTTACTATAGGTTAGTTCTGGGTATAAATAAGTTACACAAAATAAGTTCATTTTGTCTACCTAATTTGTTGTAGAAAGGCACATCAAATTTTCAGTCATCTATTGAATTCTAATTTGCCTAATTTGCTTGTTGCCTTTGAGAAGCTGACTGTAGTGACTGCAGCAGCATGAGAGTCTGTGTCGGCACATGTTTCACAGTCTCAGAGGGGGCTCTGTCTTTTCCAGGTGCATGGGTAACTCAGTGCTGGAGTTGGGTTGGGCTTTTGCAGGGTGGAGGTAACAGCCCATGAATCAAATGGCTGGCAGCTGCAGCAAAGATATGATCTGGACTACATCCTATGCACAAAATGTCTTTGCTTTCCGAACACAGGAGTTATGCGTCTAGGGTAGCTGCAAAGGGAGTAGAAATAAGCTGTTCTGTGCAACTAGTGCAGAACAAGAACTAAAGGCCTTACATTTAAGCAAGGTATCCACAGGTTAGAGTTAAATTCTGTTATGCCTGTGTGGCTAAGTAAACACAGGAAGAAATTGCCCAGGACGGTTATAAAAGCCCATGGGAGCTTTGCAAGGTCAGTTTGCACAAACCTTTGTGGGGACTGGCGTTTAGACAGAGCCAATCATACCTTGGGGGTAATAAGTAGCCCAGATGGCCTTATAAGCCTCCTTCCTGACATGTTTTTTATGAACCTTTGAAAATGTCCTGCAAATTACTTGCATGTTGATGTTTTCTGAACACGTCATGTTGCAATAAGGTTGTTAGCAGCTCCTGTTTTGGCTGCTAAAAATAACACACTGTTGCTAGCTAGGCATCTGGGATATTGTGGCATAAAACCTTCTTTCTGGTCCTTGTGAACTGCAGAGGGAGGAGAGGGTCTCTTACGGGATGCTGTGCTGACTTCTCACACTTTTCCTTCATCTCCGACAAACATAAGCTGACCCTGTTCAGACCTTCTGCTGTGAGTGCAGGCAGGCAGGAGTTGAGAAAACTGCACCTTAGGAGAAGAGGAGCTTGTGCAGTTCAGGGAGGGACCATGAGGATCCCTGAAGGGAAGGGATTAGGGGGATGTAGTGATGTATTGAGAGTGATGGGACTTTCCCTATGGAATTGGCAGAAATGTTAATAGATCACTTCTTATTTGGTGTGAGATCCAGAGAACGTGCCTGACTTGGAGCAGTCCCTTCAGGTACTGAGCATCTTTCAGCAGTGGGCTCAGTTTGGGCCAAAAGAGTGTAGATGCGCACTTTTTTTTCCCCAATCTCTGTTGTGTATGTTACTGATGCATAACTCCATCCCATGTGACGGTGGTTTTATTTGGGTTTTTTTTCTTCCTTTCTCTTACAAAGCTACATGAGTCCAGACGTTGTTTCGGGTAAAGAGATGAGTGACAGCTTTGAAGGAGCAATAGGAAGTGGAAAACAAGAAGGGAAGTCTTCAAAGAAACATAAGAAATCTACACGCGCTCGTTCACGCCAGGAGAAGTCCAGCAGACCAAAACTGACCATACTAAATGCAAGTACAATCTCTCTGAGGGTAACTTTAGGGTTCCTTTGGCTGTGCCAGAAATAACTGGTGTTAATCTTTGCCTGCAGGTTTGTAACACAGGGGATAAGATGGTGGAGTGCCAGCTTGAAACACACAATCACAAAATGGTGACTTTCAAGTTTGATTTGGATGGCGATGCACCAGAGGAAATTGCTACTTACATGGTAAGACTTGGTGGTGTGGCTGCCCGCAGTCTCTTGATGCACTAAGTTGCTTCAGCCAATTTATTCTCACGTGTGCTCACTGACCAAGCTTTCTGGTAGCTGTGGAACAGGGTATTAATCAACACATTACTGTTTTCCTCTTTATTTTGATGTGGCCTTGTAGGTAGAGAATGAGTTCATATTGCAGAGTGAAAAAGAGATATTTATTGAACAAATGAAAGATATTATTGATAAAGCAGAAGACATGCTCAGTGAAGATACAGAAGGAGAACGAAGTTCTGATCAGGGAACGAGTCCCCAACAAGATACCGATAGACTGGAAATGAACGAGGTCAGAAATGTTAAATACAGGTTTCTGGTTTGATTCCTTTTTCTTAACAGCCAGTTACTCTAAATTATTTTTTCATCCTGTGTTAAAAAAAAAGAAAAAAACATGTTTCTTAGCAAGAAAAATAATGCTTTTACTCCATTAAGGCTTTTACAATGAGTGCTCCTTAGAATGATGCTCCTCTTACACTGATACAAGACAGCTAGTTCTTCTCTTATTTTGGGTTTGGTTTTTTCACAGGAGAAGCGGCAGTCTCAAATGAAGACACCCGTGTATCAACAAAATGGTAAATGTGCCTTTGTATTCAGGCTGAATCTTGAGCTCTAAGGCAGTGATGAGCTCATGCAGAAGTTTGCTAGGTTCAGGAAGACAGCCACCAGTTACTGGTGGTTGGAAATGTATCTAGAAATAAGGGTATAGCAGTGGTCCCTGCTAATCATGGGGCTAATCTGGATCATTTAGAATTTCCTTGACAAGTGCATAAACTGGGTAATCCTCCAAATTAGACTTTCTGCTCAAAAGATCTGGTTTATTTTTTGCCCATGAATGTCACATAATTTTCTCAGCACACCTTTATTTAACATAATATTTGTATTTCTACTGATGAAAGTGACAAAGTGTGTATAGTCCTGGCTTGCCATGTACATATGCCAGGCTTCGAGATAAAATGTGAAAGGAAATATTAGCTAGAAAACTTCCAACATGGAAAAGTTAAGCTGGATAAACTTTACAGAACTAACAGATTTTTTTGTTGTGAGAAAACTGTCCACAGTACCGTTAATAAAATTTTCATCTACATAACTATTATCCTTCTAAAAGTATGAACAGTTGAAAATCAATTTTCAATAACTTAAAATATGCAGCAGAATTGGGAGGCATCACTGTCTCCCTTCCAGAAGGGATGAGAATGAGATTAGGAGTTGTTGATTTAATCCTGGCTAATACTGAAGAAATTCTGATTTTCTTTCTAAACATGGGAATTGAGACTAGGTTTTGACAGATGATCTGGAATGAATGGAAATTGTGTTTACTCTTTATTTTCATTTCACCTCTAGTTTTGCATACTGGAAAAAGGTGGTTTATTATATGTCCTGTTGTGGAAAACCCTACTACTGATGCACCAGAATTTTCTCCACCTGTACCCCAGAGTACACAGCAGACAGAAGGCCCAGGTATTTACAAACTCTATTGAAAATGTTTTCTTTTCTGAAGTTGCTGTGTCATCTCTCTTCTATTCTCACCTGACGTAGTTGTGTTTGCTTCACTTCACTGAGTCGGAGGAAGAAAGTGATTAATTTTGCTAGGTCATGTGTCTGGTATTGAACCAGAAATTAATGTTTATTTGAGTTTCAGGGCAGTCTCAGTATTTCAACTCTGCCTTACACTGTAAGACAGCTGAAGTGTTCTAGTCAATGCCGTTTTGATAAGCGGTGTCTTTTCAGTGAAATGTTTTTGCATGATGTGTAATTTTAGGTTCTAATTTGACTTGTATAATCATTATTTTCTGACGGGAAGCACTAATGAGTTATGGCCAGATGCAGTTATCACTGCAGCTAACTGGGAAGTTTTGCAGTGACAGTCATTCTGTGCGCCTCATAAAAAAATTTAATCTGATGTTTGTATGCTTTCTAGACCTGGAGCAGTCGGATGACCAGCAAGCAAGCTCTGTGGTGACAGATCTGCCTGGCGTCTTAGCTGGTCAGCAGCTTCCCCCCCAAGCAGGCGTATGTGACAGCCCCATCGGGGCCTCTCCATCGTTGGCTCCCACCCCTGCCGCAGCATCTTCTGCCAGCTTGCCGAGCCAGGCAGAGTTTTCAGCTCCAGCACTACTGGGACCTGCTCCAAATATCGTAGAGCAGGTGGCTGCTAACGGAGGGCATCTGGAGTATTCTCCACTGAAGGTGGCAATGCCGGCTCAGCCAGGCACACTGTCCCCCCGCCCCGCCTTGCTGGAGGAGCCTTCTGATGCTCTCCTCGCTCCTCAGCACCGGCAGCCGCAGGCCGACGAGGGTACGTGTGTCCCTGATGTGGAGATAGCGTGCTGCAGTGTTGGGCCACACAAGTCAGTCCCGGCAGCTCCTGTGAAGGCGGCAGAACTCTGCCCGCTCCCCGTGCTCCCAGATACCGTCGTGTTGGAACGGCAGCCTGCGGCGCAGGTCCCTTACCTGCCAGAGGCTGGCCAGACCAGCATGGTGCAGCACCCTTTTGTGAGCCAAGCCTTCCCTGCAGCCACTGCATCTGATCCTCTCAGTCTGGCAGGGTCGCAGCTCCAGAGCCCTACTCAGGTGCCAGTGGCTGCACCCCAGCAGCACACAGTGCTGTCCCAGGCACAGCCCGCAGCCTGCACCGGCGTGGGGATCAGCCTGCTGCAACAGCAGCAGCCCAGCACCGCTGAGTCCGACGGAGAGGGACCGCCCAGGGTGGACTTCGTTGACAACACGATAAAAAGCCTTGATGAGAAATTGCGCAATTTACTTTACCAGGAATATGTCCCTACTTCTTCTGCATCAGCAGGGACTCCAGACACCTCTGTCCCATTAGAACAGGGCGACAGTGAATTTAACTTGCCGCCTTTTCCCGAAGATCAAGTTCCCACGTTGGCGTTGGATTTGAGAGAACCAGGACGTAATGTTGCAGACACCAGCCAGGAGGTGAAAGCTGCTGCCGAGGCCCAGTCGGTGCCACTGGTACCATCCGAAATCTCACCCTACCCAGCACCGGTTAGTCCAGCGCCGGCTCTGCCCTTCATACCCCTGCATCCAGCCATTAGGGACAGCACCAAAGCAGAGCTCAGAACCAATGAGCCTGTGGTAGGACACCTACAGATTTCTTGCTTTTCTCTAAATGTTTTATGTTTCTGCTCCTGGTTATATTACCTTTTGTCTGTTGACTGCTTTCCAATGTGAAAATTCTCCTAAATTTTTACTGTCAGATGCATTCTGACTCATTTTACATAAACACTTGTTAGTGAAAGCCAAGCTTATCCTTCGTGTTTAAAAGCGGTACAATATCTTAATTCATTCTCCTCGTCTCGTGTCCTGTTTCTAAAGCAGGCAGAAACATGATAATTTTTTGTAGCTTAAGAATGTAAAGCACGAGGGTTAGAGTCATTCAAGTTCTGATGAAGATGATCATGCTTCAATAGGAATTTTTTTTAATATAAAGTAATGGCAGTGATTACAATGCCTGCCTTCCAAGCCAGTCCGAATAAAATAAACACTTCAGGGGCTGCAGCTTTGTTCAAGTGCTGCAGCCAGAGGAAGACACTCCTTAGGTAGGAGCTTGTTCTGCTTCCAGTAATGATTTCCTTTGTCTTCCCCGAGTTTGGCAGAGCAAGACTTCACTGGGAAGCATCTAAGGAAAGCTGGAGCATCTGGTCTGCATTGTTAGTTACTCGACGTGTCGATTGTGCACCTGCATTGTGTTCTTTCAGATAAAATCCTGAGCTTATGAAATTCAGCAAATTTGCAGCACTTTCTGCTAGAAGATTGGTGTATGCCTCACTTGAAAAGTAGCATTTCTGGAGATAATTACATCACCACTAGCAAGGATGAGGCTGTTCTGTGTAGTGTCAGCTGGATGAACTGTATCAACTGCTTGAAAGATGCTGTGTGTTACAGGAAAGATGGCTGCACTTGACTAACTCTTTAGAGCATATTGTTTATAATGAGAAATGACTTTCTACAGAGGATGAAATTCCCTCTCTATGAAAGGTGTTATGTCTCTCCAGTGATTTGAATTTGTCCCATTAAAATCTGCTCCAGTAAGAAAAGAGAGGCCTAGAATTTGTGCAGACAGGCATACAGATGAAGAATGTGCAGACTGGCTGGAAAAGCAAACCAGAACAAAACCCCAGACATATATATATATGTATAAAATTCAGTGCCTGGGTTTTAGTACCTTAATATGCAGTTTCCTCTGTGACACTGCCACTGCTTTTTTTTCTTACAAGTGAGGAAAATAAAAAATGGAGGAGTTGAAGGAAAACCTAGCAGGCCACCTCCACAGACACTATAAAATAGTTTAATATTCCACAGTAGCATGAGGGCAGAGAGGGGGGGAGGGAAGAAGAATGCATTGCCTTTCTGCTTTGTGCGTGAGACTGAAATTCTTTTTCTTTTTTCTTTTTGCTGAAAGTTTGAAAAGTCGGAGGTCACCAGTGCTCATTCCTCAGAAGGAAGAGGTGGGTCAGCGAGCAGAAAAGGTAATGCTCCTTTTGGTGATGAGCGGCAGCAGTGTGTCTGCGCGTGATCCTCTTCTCCGGTGTCCCCTTGCTGCTTGCCCTTCTGGTTAACCGCAGAGCACCGCCCAGCACAAGGCACTTCTGATCCTGTCTGTAACATAGCTGCTATTAAACATCTCGCTTCTGTCAAGCTTCCTAGAAAGAAACTGCCTCACAGGCGGGTTTATTTTAAACCATGAATATGTAATACATGCCAGTGGTGTAGGTAGGGAGTGTTCACATGGAAGGCTACGCTCCCAATAATAAATTTCCAGCACCCTTAAAAATTCCAAACAGAAAGTTCCTGGTTTTCATAAAAATGTGCTGACAAAAATAATGTGGTTGAGAGTAGCCGCTCTAGGAGGAAGCCTGTAAGATTTTCAAGGAAGTCCCACGGAGATCTAGTAAAGAATACCTTTCTTTAGGGACTTGTAGGTACAACAGCACTTTCTATAATAATGTAGTAGGAGCCAACCGGGTGTCTATCATGCTCCATTTTACCTGTACTGCAAGTCTTGGGAAGTTTTAAGGGATGAGGAACCCAAAACTGCTCCTGCTGTCCTGGGTGGGGTTGGGGAGGGTGTATAATACATATTTTGTTGAGATCATCATAGCAAAGCCGGCTACCAGGTTTGTATAACGACATAGCTCATTCTTGTCCTGGTGGACGTAGATCGTCCGCTGCTTTCGGGTCACCACCAGAGGGGAAAACTTTGGGCGGCCTGCGTTCATCTCTCTCACTACAGGCAAAGGAGAGTATGCAAGCAGCACTGCGTAGTAAAATTAAATGTATCTTAGCTACCGTCAAGCAGTGACGTATTTCACCATTTCAGAACTATGGAGTAACAGATTCTTCCCTTATGTTCACTCTGCGCAACATGCCACAAGAAAGGAGCTCTGTGAAAAGCTTATGTTTATTGGTTTAACTTCAAAACCGGTGTCCGGGTTGTGAAAAGATTGCGTCTTGGTTACTGCCGCTAATACTCTGCTGCTTTTGTGCTCTGTGGTCCGAGTGGCCATCTTCTGAGCTTATAATCTCCATTTTCAGCAATGTGCGTTTAACTTCATTTCGGGCACTTTTAATTGTTGGTGTCCATATCTGTCAAATGGAAAGTGTGAAATACTAAGTCCATCTGTGGTCAACTGCAGCATTCTGTATGCAAGAATAGCAGAGTGCCATCACTTCTTCAAGACATCAAGAACACCTTAGTAATGCAGGCCAGTGTACCAAGCAGATTTCATTCTTCTGGTTTTCTCCTTAAAAATTTTCATCCGACTAATGAAATTCCGCGCTCCTATTATTATTTGAATTCCCCAAATCAATAGGTTGAAGAGAGTGCCTACCTGCAAATATTTTATATTATCAGTGATATTGCCTCCTGCGTTATAGATCCCATATTACAAAGATTGGATATTTAAATTATTCTTCAGTGCTACCCTGTATCACGCGTCAGTTTGTCACAATAAACACATTGGCTTTTATTATACTAAAGCATTCCAGATTTGAATATATTTTTTTGTTTTCCAACTTGTAAAACAGGTTCAGCTGCAAGCATTGCTTTGGCTCCTGCTGCTACCGCAAAAGGCCTCCTTCAGGTAACCAGAAAGTAGGAGCAGTTTTGTGCTTGATCGTTACAGCTACTTTCAAAATTAATCTCCATGACTTTCTTCAGGTTGCACCTACATCATCAAGTGTAACTAAACAGATGGAATCTTCTAAAAGGAGTGAGAAGGCAAAGACTGTGACTTCGTCTGCACGCACAGATAATGTAACACAGATATCTACAGCAGATGGGGTGATAAATAACCTTCAAAGGGATGACTCTCTAGACTCTGGTTCCTATGGAAAACAGGCTGAAACTCGTGACAGCGGTACACCAGCCAAAACTATTGGCAGGTTTTCAGTAATCAGCACGCAAGACGAATTAACTTTAACAGCGTCACACTGCTTAAGGTTCTCGGCACCCCCGGACGTCTATTTGGATGAGCTACCTTCCAGCCCTGACTTGAAGACAGCCGTCCGACGGGTGCAGACAGCCTCTTCTGTTGATGTCCTCTGTGACCAGGCTTCGAGTGATTCTGCCGATGAGCCTTTCCATCGTCAGTCGGCCACAGCTGCCCAACTGTCCCCCCCAAGCAGTAGTGCAGCCAGTGACTTAATTAAAAAAGCAGCTGCTTTCCTGCAAAGATCTGGCAAAGCTGGCTCACCAGGCCTCGAGTCGCCTAACGGGCAAGGAACAAAAATTCCTACCATTAACATAACATCTTTCCACTCGCAGTCGTCGTACATGAGCAGCGACAACGACTCGGAATTTGAAGACGCAGACATGAAGAAAGAATTGCAGAACCTGAGAGAAAAGTATGTCGGGTTTGCAAATAACGCTAGGGAAGCTTGCGTTCAGATGCCTCGGCAGCATCGTGGCATGTGATGAGCAAATATGTGGTTTTTGTAGCTGTAATGAGTAAATCGATTCTGGGCAAATTAGGCCTCGCTAGGACCTTCCCCCAAATGTCATACTGCATCCTTCTGTGCATCACTTTATTTGTCAGTTCCATTTAGAAGAATAATTTAATAATAACTTTTTTTAAACCCTGAAACATTTCTGCTGCAATGTCCAGTTCCCTTACTGAAAAGCTGTGTTTGATACGGCAGCAAACAACAGCGCTTGTAACGTATGTGATAGAGGGTTCCCATGTGGACGCTATTTAAGGCAGCGTAAAAATAATCTGGATGCCTGCATAGACAGCATCCATAGCGGGCTCTTCAGGCCCTTCTCTGCAAGGGTGGTTTAGATTGTCAGGCCCACAGACCCATCACTGTTCCCAGGCTCACTTTTGTAGTCGATAACCCAGTATCTATCAGGCAGATAAGACTGTCGCTTCACCTCCCGTCGGACCTCATCAAGCATCGGTCCAGTCTCTGGAGGCTGGGTGAGTCTGGCAGGAGTCTTGTGCTGCCAGTCCTGAGAGCCAGCTGCTTTAAATTTGAACATTTTCTTTCTTTCCTGGCAGGTGATGGGTAAAAACTAGCGTTAGGTGTTAGTTTAACCAAAATGTTAAACTTTATCTTAAGGTATGAGAGTTTTAGTGAATACAGGTGATGCATCTTTTCAGAACACAACTACAGTAATACAAAACCTTTAAATTGACTTCATGGCATCATGATACTGCATTATAAACAAGGTAATGATTCATGTGCTGATGATATTTTTATGGGCAGCACTTTTGTTGTTTTTCATGTTGATCTCCGTCAAACTGATGTACATGCCTTGGGAGTGAACTTTTTTGAAGGCCCTGGTTTGAAGAGAGACATTCCAGAATAGTTTGGAGTTCCTGTCAGATCTCAGGTCAAAATTAGTTGGTTTTTACTGAGGGTGTTGAAAATCTTTTTATCTGTCCAGGATTCTGTCTTATAAATGAATATTTGAGAAGTCAGTCACCCCACTTGCCAGGCAGATTGTTGTAAGTTCGCATACATTTGGATGAGCACTTGATTGTTTTATAACCAAAGACTGTTGTGTTTCTTTTTTTTAATAACTAATTATACTGTCAAGATGTGGTGCTTTATCAAATACATCTCTAGCAGCGTTCTTTATTTTTTTATGTTTAGGCATATGAAAGAAATTGCTGAACTTCAGACTCAGCAGAAGAATGAGATAGAGGCACTGTATATTCGGTTAGGGAAACCCCTTCCTCCCAACCTGGGGTTCCTTCACTCAGCCCCGCCAAGCAGCCGGCGCCGAAGAACTAGCAAAAATAAATTGAAAGGTGGAAAACTATTAAACCCTCTGGTCCAGCAGCTCAGGAGTGGAACATCAAGCACAAGTAGGTACACTGGGTTGCTTTCCATACGCCTGTCGCTTGTGTCAGTTGTGGTTCTGCTGTGTAATTGCATGAACTGTGGGAAGGGCACTGGATTTTTGTTGGTTTTAATACTATGACTCAAGTTTGCGTCCTGCAAACTGCTTTTGAAGTGGGCTTCCTCTGGGACAGGCTTCTTACAGCTGCCTGGTGCTGAACCATACGTACCTCTGCATGGCTTACAAGGCTTGGCAGAGGAACAATATCCCACTTCAATTTGGAACACAGCCTGGTTACATTTTCTCATCCTTTCTCCAAACACAATTTATTGGTGTTTGTATTCGCTGCTTGGGTGCTGTTATCCTCTGTTGATTATGTGCTGTATCTTCTTCTTGTTTATTTTTTCCTACAAGATGCAGTATAAATAAGAATGGATTGCATTTGCTCCCCAAAATATGGGAGGTAAAAACATTTATAAAACTGTGATGGATGCTTTGAGCATCTGAAGTAGTTTGGGATTTTTCAGTCAAGTACAGTCTTGAGTCATTACTTCTTTAGAAAGTATAAAGGTATAATTTGGCTGGGAAATGTTGTTATACCCCAGTACCAAGGTGTAGTATATGTATATGTAGCATATGAATATGTAGCATAAAATAGAATAGAAATGTAGAATAGAATGCGAATATTTAAAATAGAATAGAAATGTAGAATAGAATGTGAATATGTAAAATAGAATAGAAATGTAGAATAAAATATGAATAATTTTTCTTTGACTTAGTTCATGCTGTTATTTAGGGGAGTGGCAGCACTTCCAGCATTCACCCTGTATTTCAAACCTGGCAGCTCTTGTTTTCAAAGTCATAGGTCCACTTGGAATTTCATTGCATCGATCTTAATTATAGATGGAAGGTTTGAGAGGTTTTTGCTTTTAATTAAGGATTTCAACCAAGATTGGAAAAGCAAAGATATTCAGAGGCAAGATGTTCTTGAATCTCAGTACTCTTGCCTACGGGAGCTGAAGTGATGCTCAATGCTTTACACCTCCGTAGCTGCTGCTCAGCTGACGTACAGAGGTTTTACTTCCTTTCCATGTGACGAGATTTGCTGAATGCCTGGTGTCCTTGGCTCGCTCATTTCCCGGTTTGTTCTTGGGTTTGCTCGAGCCATTTTTCCCCTCTGTCTACTCACAAATCCCACATCTGTCTCCACTCATGGATCTTGGCCCACATCCATGTGCTACCCTGGTCCAAAGAATTTAAGCTTATTTCTGCATAAAATACCTCAGTTTTCCTATTTTTTTTCCCTTGTCACCCTCAGTTACAGAACAGAAACCTGCTCAGCCAGACTGCTGCTTTGGTGCGTGCTTTCCCTCATGCATTTCTTCTGTGATATTTTCCTTTTTTTTGAGGCACTGTGCAAAGTTCACATTATCTTTGAGAACCTGTATTCACGCCTGAGTCTTCTCATCCTTGACCATGTAGATTCCTCATTTTCTGGCCTTCCTCTAGGCCCTTTCTCAGGGATCAAGGACAGGCAGTTTCCAATACGGTTCCTGATGTCATTGTCATTTGCACTCTTAGATGCTTTTGCTGATAAATCCATATAACAAATTATTGCAAGGGTATTCTGGTGGTAAAGCCCCTTTACCTGGGATATCCATGTAGCTAGAAGAATAGATACCGATATTTATATATAGACATGTATCTATCTCTTTATAGATAGCTATAAATAAGCAGTTCCTCATGTCTTTGCAGCAACTTTTTATTTCTCTCCATTTGCTTGTTTTCACCTTTCATGTTTGAGAGCAAACCTACACATTCTGTGCCTTCATGCTCCTAACGAGGTGCTTCTGCAGCTCTTGCTTTGTTTCGGCAGTGCTCCTGGGGAGGTCCCAACTTTGGCCTCTCCAAAAAATGCAGAAAAGAAACTGTAGAAGTCAAACCTACTCCATAAGCTTCTTCGAGAAACGGGGATCAGCGACAGTGTATGCAGGTTATTTTCTGGTGCGGGCTGTCTGTAAAGCCCGTGCTTCACACAGGAGTTCAGATTGTAAATCGCTCTTCCTCTGGGTGGCAAAGTAGCGATTATTTTTAGACACGGATTTTTATTCGGTGGTTTCCCAGCGTTTGCCACTGCATGTATTTTGTTTGTTTGCTCTTCCAGGTAACCTTTCCGACTCTAAAGACTCACCCCACAAAGAAACAACTAAAACTCAGCCTGGCTCTCCCGGAGCTGCAGCGGTGACTCCCTCTGCATCGGCCGCCTTTGGGAAGGCTGTTCAGACGCAGCAGCCATGCTCTGTCAAAGCCTCTTTGTCTTCTGACATCTGCTCCGGCTTAGCCCCCGAAGGAGGTGACGTGAACGCAAGCTCTGGCCAAGGTGATTTTTTCATACCAGCTGTTCCGCATGTCTTCCAGCACATGCTAAAATTAGTTTGCTTCCCTTATGCTTGAACTTTTTAGAGTTTTAACTTCTAGTGATATAGGAACATGAACCTTTGACAATCCAAATTACTGGCTTATCTTTAAAAAGATGGTTGCAGTACTGTCAGAAGAACAAAAGTAAAGTATCTTACCAAGTGTTAAGAGTCAACCCTCAAGAAGGCATGCTAATTTTTAGGGAGTAAATTTAGCTTTTATTTTTGCCAGCAGTGCCTTTATGCTGACACCTTTTCTGGAGTCTACCTTACAGATTTCCAAGAAAAAAGAAATTAGAACAAGAAAGCTGTAGAAGGAGATTGTTTCCTTTGGTTCGTTGTGGGCTTTTTTTTAGCCCCTTGGTAGCCCCAGAGTTCCTCATTAATAAACTACCAAACCATCTTGGGTGTGAGGGGGAAAAAAAAGAAAATTAAAAAAAAAAAAAAGAAAGAAAACCAAACCCAGAGAACCAAGTTATGTTTCCTCTATCTAAGGGGTTAACTTTGTGCATGATTTTGGAGTCCCAGCTAAATGACTGTAGATTGGCTGTGTTCCCCAGTCCCGACCTCTGGTACTTCTGTGTATTGCACACCTCCGTAGGCTTTGACTGATCTTGTTGCCATGCATATTGGAAGTTACAATGATGATTAAAATACCTTCCTCTCATTGCACATCCTGCCAAACTAATCTACCAAATACCTATCTGTTCTCTTCTGCTGTTATTGCATTCTTTGTGTATGGTCAATTAACTTACTCCTTTTTGGCAAAGTTAAAATGGAGATGTGGATGTTTAACTAACAAAGCTGATTTGACTGATGGTATAGGACATCTGATCACAGCTACTTGTACTTTATAAGTGTCTTTGTTTTCTTCCCTTTATATTCATTTGCAGGCTGGACGGTTTTCCACCAAACGTCTGAGAGAGTGACCTATAAATCTAGTAGCAAACCTCGTACCAGATTCCTCAGTGGACCTGTGTCTTTGTCCATCTGTTTGTATTTGTTCTTTTGTATTTTATCACAGCCCATCTTTCTTTTACCCCCTTTTTCCAATTCCATGTTTTATATCTCTAATATGTTTGGCAGGATGCCCCTTTTTCTGAGCCATCTTTTCTTTCTTTTTATGTTTATTTTAAGTAATCATCATGAACACACCTTATTTATATTAATTTTTCATATGAAAGCTTTTTTTGCACTGCTTTTGGCTCATGCCTGGGCACCAAAAGCATGTGTGGAAGATCTCATCATTTATTATATAGCCTTATGGTAAATTTTACCCTGGACTTATCAAAGTTTTTGTACTTTGTGATTTATGTTGAAGTAATTTTATTTGCAATGTGGCAAATAGACATGTCTGCTGTCCCGGTTCCAGCGGCAACAAAAAGAAATCCGTCCTTCTGTAGACGAATGGTCTCTTTCACACATGTTTGGACTATGAAGACATGCATGTAGCAAGCTGATACAATACTAGAAGGTCACTGGAGGGTATAACTTCCATACAAGGGCTGTATTAACACGATATACAGTACTGTTTATATCCACTCTATTTTCTTTAATTTTTTTCCCCGCTCTTTGCATGTGGAAATGCTGAGACAATAGTGCTCCAGCTAGTTCTTCCAAAATCTGTGTTCTAGGTGGGCTTTTCCCCATGCATCCACTTTAATTACTTGAAGCGAGCAAGGTTTATGTACTCATAAGCAGCAAGAAGATCTGATTACTCCGAGGGGGAGCACCATCCACTCTTTTGGTGTAAGCTGATCTGGCTGAAGCACTTCACTCAGTTTATTTTCTTATGACCTTATGTGACCTCAGAGATGAAGTCAATTAGCAGTTCATCAAAGCATAAATAAGTAAAAAGCAATACCAGATTTTCAGGTGATCCTTTGAAATGGATTGCTAGCACCCGTATTTTTGGTTTTGAATAATTGTGCACCTGCTATTTGTACCCTATTTGTATGACTTCTAAAGTAATTGGCAATTCAACCAAATGATATCAAGCTATTTAATTAAAAAAAAGACGACCTTTTTACCCAATTATATATGCTGCTTTTTAGGCAAACAGATTTTGCTTGTACAATAAAGATATGTTGTGCTGAACAGGTACTATAGGCCATGTACATATAACATGAGAAAGGCTAAGAATGTTCTTGAGAAAATGTTTGGTTAACTAACTGTTCATTTGCATTAATATCTGATCTCCCATCGGAGTTCTACATTGCTCATCATTATCCAGGCGGTACAGATCAAAGGCACAAGACCACTCAAATACACTCCTCCTAATTTTATGAATAAACAATATTTTTTAAAATAATCTTGATTTTTTTTTTTTTTTTTTTTTTTTTCCCGTTTGAGGTCCCTAACAGTCTAAGCACTCAGGTTCTTGAAAACTGATGTTTACTGCTCGGCATGCTGAATTTATTGTCATGCAAGTTTTTAACGACTGTTGAAGTCACGAGACAATTTTGCATTCAGGGATTTTTTTCTGAGAACCTGAGGGGAATTCCCAGTTTGCAAATTCTCCCATTTGGTGTTATAACCAACATAGTAGTGTCTTCCCTTGCACACGTAATTCCCAGAAGTTATTTCATTAATCTTTCACAGAATTACTGTTCGGTAGGATGCAAAAAGACTGGGAGGTGGCAATTAAAAACCTGCATATTAAAAATGTTTGGGTGCATGGATATTGTGAATGAAACGGAGGGAATATGTAAATCCCTCAAATTCTGAAGTTTCCCAATGCTTAAATAACTCAGCACCACTAATTGCTCTCTGTTCTCAGCCCATATACTCTCTTCTCGGTTTCTTACTGGGAGGGGAGGTTTGCACTCACCCATTTCTGAGTCAGGCGAGAAAATGGGCTGGGTTTCAGGTGCTTAACCCTGATACGTCCGTCCCAAGTCACCACTGCTCGGAGAGCGCAGCTTTGTTCCAAATGCTGCTCTCACTTGAGTTGCTGGGCAGTTCCCCACAGCCAAGTTACTGGTAGGTTTTGAGGGGGATAGGAGATTATTTTAACCCGTTTTTCCAGTGAGTCCAACAGAGTTGTAGTGTGAAGGGATGAAGATGGGGCCACATGTGGCCTCGTTGTGCCCCAAGGGCAGCTGGAGCCAGAGGGATGAACGGCTGGCAGTTCCTTCCAGCCAGTGCCCAGAGCAGCCATGACCATGGGCCTTGGGAGAATTAGTGCTAGATGATGATGATGGGAATGCCAGCTGGCTCGTGCTCCTTCGCCTCTGGAAGGGACATAGGTTGACCAGCACGCTGGCAGAGCCAAGCGTTTGGAGGAGGTGCTGAACACGTTTGCATCTTTGCCACGTACTTGAGCAAGGAGAGGAAGCAGTGGAGCCAGGCGGTGGGGCTGGGACATGGCTGCCCGGTGCCGGCAGCTCGGTGCCTGGCCAGGCAGTTCAGGGTCCTGGGGCTGTTCCTTGAGTTGAGGTTCCATGAGATTTTTTGGTTTTTTGAGAGCTGTTGGGAAAAGTTGTGCTGGATTTTCAGAAGTGCTCTGAATCTACACTTTTGATGAAGGAAAAACAGCCCTTGGGGGAGCTTGGATGTTCCAGTGTGAGGCCTGTATTCTATGAGCAGACAAATTAGCGGCACGATTTTAAAAAGAAATGTTCAGCTGGATTAAAGACAGTTTTAACAAATAGCTTGCCCTGCTTACAATATCCATCAAACTTGAGCACTTCCATAGTGTTCTCTCTTTTTGATCTGTTCCCCATGTCCAATATTGACTTTTCCTTTGCACTTCTTATGGAATAAAATATTTCTTTATGGGATTCAGCATAATTTTAGCTTGAGCTCCCTCCCTGCGTTAAATTGCAAGGGCATCTTAGGGAAGAGTTTGCGCTGATTCTGAGTGGAATTTTTGAAAACTCCATTTGGCTTAGACTTGTAATCTTGTATAGCGTGATTTTTGTCAGGTCTGTAGTCATTAATATATTGTATGTGTATATGTGATTATGGAAATAGTCTATACAATTTATTGCCATTTCAATTTTATTTTAGCTTTCAAGCTTTTTGGCAGCTGTTAGAGTGCAAACATGGGACAGTGGGGTTTCCTCCTGTCCTGTATGATGTAAGAGCTACTTAATTTCTCAGATAAGAAATCTGAAATTGGAGGTGAAACACTCTGCTGAACTTTTGCAGTCTTAGATTAAATCTTAATTATGATTCATCTCCTTAACTTTACAGCTATTAAACACCTCGATTTTAGAAGTAATACAATTAATCTGGGGAGTTAGGTTTACTGAGTGCATTTTTAATAGAATTTGAATTTAAAACCAATTGTAGCCGACGACTGACAGTCCCTGCTCCAGGCAGCATCCCCACTCGCAGACCGTTCCTCATCTCCCAAGCAACGTGCTGGAGTGCCAAAGACACGGCTCACTCCAGCGATTGACTCTCCTGTCATGCTTTCCTTAGCGTCGGCTCCGCTCAGGCCGTATTTTGTGAATATCTCCAGTATCGCTGTTCTCTGCCGCTTCCCCACACACGTGGGGGCCCCAGGTTTGATTTGGCACCCGAGGTGCATACGAACTTGTGACTGGCTTTTCAGGAAGCGGAGGGGGCGGTGATTAAACTTTTTCTCAGGCATTTGAGCACATACTGCAGTCAGCTGCCTGCTTGTATTTTTCTCAGGCAGTTGCTTTTTATTTGCATACCTGTTGTGCCAAATACTACGTATTGCTACGCGCAGTGTGCTGCAGGATAGTTGAGGAAATAGCATTCTAGTATTACTGCCGCCGACGTTTACGCTATGGAGCTGCTAGCTAACTGTAGGAAATAGGCACGGTAAGGTATATCCAAGGGGAAAAAATTAAAAACACAACGCTGCCTGTTTAGTTGTGAATGTGACTCTTATTTGTTATCCAGGCTTTGAGAGGAGAAACTCAACTTGGTCCTGCTTGCAATAAGATGTTCCTGTAGTTATGTCCTTCTGATTTTCTGGGAATAGGAATCTCATGAAACTATGTGAAATAATAAGAAAATCTTTCAAAGCGATCCCCCTGTTCCTCCTCATGCCACCTATATCAAAACACAAACATTTCTTCTCCCTTTTTTCCCTCCCTCCTTTCTTTACTTTCTCTTCCTCAGTCTCTGACTGATGTCTCTCCTGTCTCCTTTGAGGACTCATTCAGAGCCTATGTCAACCTGGACCTGCAGTCTCTGAGTTTAAAGCTGCATTTCTGGCACAGTAACATAAAATAACGACCACTGGTTTGCTGTAGAGGAAAAGCACATCCATCCTCTATCTTGATTTTTGCCCCACTCTCTGATTTTGCTCATGTTTTCAAGTGCTTCTTCACAATATACTTGCCATGCCCCATGTCAGATTTTCATCTCCTCTCATACCATAATGATGCTCTTCTTACCAAGTCCAAAATACCTTTCAGGAAATTCGGCACTCAAAGAGAAATGGTGCTGATGTCTGGCAAGATCTGACAGTCAAGTAGGGTTCTGGCCACGCTTCTGGCACTGTCAACTATCTGTCCAACAGAATATGTAAAACGGTAACGAAGGATGTAACGAGATAATAATGAACAAAACATGTAGTTTGGTTAAATGAAAACTCAGCCACTCTGCTGGATGACTTTTCTGCACTTGTCAAGGTGTAAGGGAAACTCAGTCATGGTTGCTTTCAATTGAAGTTAAGAATATCGCATTTAGACACAAACCCTACTGATAAAGTCTTTGGAAATAATTGGCCTCAGACCTGCAGAACAATGTATCTTTTTGGACTTGTAAAACAGGACTTGGAGGGTGGTTCTACAGTTTGTCTTTGCAGCCAGACCAGCTTGACTCGTTCCTGAAAGCATTTTTGGCCTCCTATCACAAACTGAATTGACATCATTTCCTGCATAAATAGAGTAGGAATCCAAACCTCCTTCTAGGAAGCCAAGGCAATTCAGGACAAAAAAATCCAAAAGAAAGAAAGAAACAAACAAAAAAAACCCCAAACAATACCCAAACAAATGCATCTTTAAGTCACGAGACCTTGCTTTTGGCATGCTATTGTACTTTTCAAAGCTTCTGAATGGCTGCACATTAAGAAAGGTTCAAGCTGTCCAGTTATTTAGCCTTCCTTTAGTCACCTGAACTGCTGACTTTGTCTGTCCTTTCTCGCATAATAACTACTTTTTGATCGCTTAAAAGTACAGAAGCTTGTCCGTCAGATCTGTTGTGTTTAGTCTTACCTAATTCTGTATGTCTTGTATTGTTTTACCTTGTAGGGTCCACCTTGAAACGACTATGTCTAGGCAAAGATCACAGTAGTAGTAACTATCCCATTTTTGTTTCTCAGTATTTCCTTCATGGCATGGGATGTTTTTTGCTTTTTTTTTTTTTACTAAAAGCTAGTTGTTTAATAAATAGAGCTGATGCACTTATACTGGTATGAAATTAGGCTGTACAAATTGTGATACTTTGATAACAATGCATGTGCCGTGATGTCTTGGGAACCACGCATGCTGCAAGACGGTTGTGGTGGTTGTGTGTGAGACTGTGCACGCATGTGGCCAGAAAACGGGATTCATTGTTTGTCTCTCTGAAATACGCACCTTTATATGACTGCAGTTCTCTGCTGGAGGAACTGATAGCTTAAAACAACGCCATTCCTGTTGAGCTGCATGAAATACTAAATACTATTTGAAGAGCTGTCCTGTCAAAGTCCTTATTTTTCTCACCAGTCCCTTCCCCCAAGCCAAGGAAAAGGCTATGAGCAGTATTCACTTAGCAGTTATGTTGCAGGTTGAATGCATGATCATTTAAAGGTTATTAACGTATTTTATGTAACTGTAGGACTGATTAGTTTACTCAGTTTCATGGGCTGGTAACTGATTAACAGAAAAAAGAAGACTGAATGTTCATGTTTGCTTATATAATAATTTTACTGCAGTTCTATGAACTTTTTGCTTGGAGAGATGGTCTTTATTTCAAATCTTTAGCTGTATCAAGCAAATCAGCTGAAAAGTTACTCTGTATTTTCTGCTTAGGTCAAATTCAGGCAGCTTTAGTTGCTGTTCCCTGCTGATCTTGCTGTGTCAGACTTGTAGTTACCAACACATAGAAAGGACAGATTTTTTTTTCCCCCTAGTGCTTCTAGAAATAAATGAACATACAAAACTAAATCTCTCAATATTCCCTCTGTCTGCCTTTATCTGTACCAAAAGTTCTGTATCTTTACCTTTGTCTTAAAAACTCACACACCCCCACTATTGTCCTCCTCTCTCCTCTTTCTTCTGTACATTCATGGTCCTGGTGGGGTTTTTTTCCCCAAAAAAATATGCAGATGGCAAAGTAAATGGTCCTTACATCATCAAGAGAGGCTGGGGGTTCCTGCAGCCTTTGAGGCTCCTTGTAACCTATACAACAATTATGTTTTTCCAGGAGGACGATAAATGCATGCAAATAAAACAAATAGTAAATTCATTTTTTTTAAATGCGTGCAATTCTAGCAAGTAAAGCACCCTGCCTCCTGCTCCCTCGTGGTAGTCTCCTCTGAAGAGACCCTGGAAGCCTGAGGATGTCGGTGTTACTGGGACTGCATTTGTTTCTTCCCTTCGAATCATTAATTTCTCCTAGAGAGAAGTTGTGGGCGCAACAGCTAGCGGCTGAGGTAACATAGCATGATAGGAAATATGAACGCATTGGACCTGGACCATTTCTTTAAGCAAAGGTGTTCTGTAGAAAGGAGGGGGAGGGTCAAAATTCCAAAAAGCCACCATTTGAATAGCAAGTAGATGAGAAACTGTTTGAGCAGCAAAGCAGTGAAGCAGAGATGCCATCGTCAACCTTCTTTGTGTGTGATTTTCCAGGATCCTCGACAAACAGCCTCGTAACCTGTCCTGAGCCACTCCCGCAATCAACCCTACAGGTTCAGGCCAACAACAGTAACAACAAGAAAGGGACGTTCACAGACGATCTCCACAAGCTGGTTGACCAGTGGACAAGCAAAACTGTTGGAGCTGCACAGGCAAAACCTTCTTTAAACCAACTGAAGCAGAACCAAAAAAGGCAAGACATGGAGCCAAAGGCTAATCCCATGCAAACACAGAATGAGACATGTGGAGTAAGTGGCGCTCCTTGAAGGATGTACCTTTTGCTATGTGTCTGAAAGCCTTTGCAGAACTCAGATTTGGAGGAGGACGTAGACTAAAATTACTTCAGCTAGATGCTTCCTATAAATGTCCATCTCTTTTCATTAAGTACTAAACCAGATTTTTTTTAAAACTTGTCTTTTGGAATAATCTTGAGGGATATATGGGCTGCAGTATATATATATAAAAATATATATTTTTAAATTGCAAACTGCTTATTAACAGCAATATACAGCAATACTTAAAACATTAACCATGTGCTGCTCAACTTAGGCTTTAACTACTCCTGAAGTTTTCTTCTTTTTGATATTTTGTATTAACCTTCCTTAGGCTCAACAGTGGCTGGGCTGGTGGCTTGATGGTAGTGAGCCTTGGCTGTAGTGGGAGTGGGCTGAGTGCGGCACTGAGATGGGGCGGTTGGGTGTATTTCTGGCCCTTACTTTGTTGTACTGGGCATCTCAGAGGCTCTCTGCCTCATGCAAATACCACCTTCAGAAAGGCTGTGAAAGTAAACCGCAACTAAATGGAAATTGAAAGTGCCCCTGTTCATCCCTTCTTATTTTCAGTAGCAGGAAAAACCCATTGCGACATTCATTTGTGTCTGTGGTCAGTGCTTGTTTTCGTGGCTGAGATGATATGGAGGCAGGCACACAAGTGAATGAAGATGTATCCAGAATCCCAGTTTACTATTCTGTCCCACCCTGGTCTGGGCTTCCAGACCTCTTCCTCCTTCTCATGGTTGGATGATTCTCTGACTAATAATTTTTGCTGGATTCGTTTTTTTGGAAGACTGGAAATTGAGCCAAAGTAGAGGAAAATATATTCATTTTAAAAGCAAAGAAATAGTGAAAGCAAAACCAGTGAGGGACTGCTTTGTAATCCCTTAAAAACAAGATAGCTGTGTCTGGATCGTAAACCATTGCCTTTTTGGCATGTTGAAGGAAAAAAAAAAACGCTCATATGCAGCCATGGTGGCTCTGTAGTTACTTGTCAGGTGGGACGTGCTGAAGCAGGGACCGTGCAAACGCATCTGCTTTGGTACCTGCTGGTTTTGGAGCTAGTAGGATCGCTGGCTTCACAGGGAAAAGCGTTTGTGTGAATTTATTAAGCAATTTTATGTCAGTTCTTAGTTGCCATAAAGGAACAAAAACCAAGAGTAAATACCCCTTCTGCTTAGTAGTGGCTTAACCAGTATGAACCCCGTCGGAGTAACGGTGACACCTACTTAAGACCCTATTAGTTCTCACAAATAAGCCAAAAAAGGTGCTGGTAAACCCAAATTGAAGATTTCTAGAAAGAGATGGTGAGGGCACAGATTTTGTTAAGTCGCTTCTTCCTCTCTTTTGATGTGCTTTTTGCAGCGTGGTGCCTTTTCCTCAAGACCCCTGCATACTACAGACATACTGTGTACCCCAAGTGTGCGATGGGGGTGTTCTGCCCTCTTATAACTCTGGAAAAGAGAGTGGTTATTTTGCGTATTTATGTCACCTATTAACATCAATTCAGGGTTAATTTTACCTTCTGCAGTCTTGGTGTCTCTGTTTCAAAGCCCACGGGAGTTGGCAGAATATCGCTGTGAGAGGAACAGGAGCGTCCCTGTTTTAATACGCTGGTTTTAGAGGGTTTATTTCTTTCTAGAACATGGTAGTTGTGCCAGTGATTTAACAAGGCCAATTGAAGTCTTCTAGAGATAATGTACCAAGAGGTCCGAGAGGTTGGGATTCCCTGCTCTTAATTTCACACCATTCCTTGTTGCTTGGAAGTGGCAGTCAGTTGGAGACCTTGCGAGCCCCACACCGGCTTGCCCTGGGTGGTTTGGTGCATAAAGCCCTTGTAGGGCCATATAGGCTGCAGACTCTTTGCAGACTGCGCAGGCAGATGGCAAATCTTCCTAGCATGGTTATCGTTGGGGTATTCTGGCCATGCAGATGGTACCACGTGCCGGTGATGACAGAAGAAGGGGCAGCGAATGTGATTTAAAAGACAGCACGAGGGCTGCTTTGGGAATTGGGTGTCATTCTGCTGATTGTACCTTTTGAAATTTGTCCTAAAGGGGAAATTGAAGTTAAGGGAGGAGAGGGCTTCATGATGTTGGGAGAAAAGTAGCCAAAAGAGGAGGAAGGAAATGGTGTGAAAGGACCCTTAGTCTGGACAGCCAAGTGACCCATGACGTCAGTTCTTGGAGCAATGAGTTACACGGGGAGATGTTACACCTGCGCTGAATTGCCTTTGAGTCCACCTTTTAAAATGGTGTTGGAAAGACAAAAAGAACTCAGGAAATCACATAAAGGATGGAAAAAAATAGCTTTGTCACAGGGAGCGTACAAAGCTCGGGCTGTACTTCTTCCATCCATCTGTTAGCACCATCTTTTCGTTGTCTTTTTGATCAAATACAAAAATACCTTTGCAAGAAAAGAATAAGGAGCACTAAACAGATTTCCAGCACATTAGAGAAAGTTATAATAAGGTTTTATGTTGGACATAAAGGCCAGATAAATGGGAAATGTGGTGATTCTTATCCCTTTTTTTGGCTGGAACAAATTAGCAGGAAACTGTTAGGACAGGTTGTCTCATCTCTTCGAACTGGGTGGTTTGTTTTAGGAGATGCTCTCGTTGGTCCTGTGCGATGATCAGAAATGAGGGGCAGGAGGGAGGCAGTAGTCGTACCTTCACTGCTAAGTTTTCTCTGGAGGTTATTGGACAGAAGGAGGTCTCCTTGAAGAGTTTTTACACAGGAGTAGGAGTGATATGAGTTGTTCCATGGTGTTCCGTTGGTTAGAGGTGCCCTGGAATTCGCACCACGCTGAGCTCTTGTACGTGACACAGAGGCCGCGTAGGTGATGAGCATCCTCCTGGGGTGAAAGTCGAGGGCCTCTGTTATACAAGGTGCGACACAGAAGGCACCAAACCAAATGGCCTCTTCCTACTCTGTATTATTTATTTTTTTCCAGCTTCTTAGGCCAGAGGAAAGTTGCGACAGATCCTTAATGGTTAGGGGTAGAGTTATTTTACTGATTTTTTTTTTACACATAGTAGTTTCTCTTACTGTCCACCAACTGTTATTAATATGTAGGGTAGTTGTGTGGCCGATTTCAAGTCATCTTTTTCTCCCTGGAAACAGAGGACTAACTTCCCTGAGTCATCTTTTTTCTCTTTAGGTGCTTCTACCACCATCAGCAAATTATTTGCCATGTAAATACAATGTATTGTTGGTACCTTTTTTTAACTAAGCAAGGCTACTCTTTAAAGTTGAAATCAACTCAGAAGAGAGATGGGTGGTGTGTTTAATAAGAGTTAGTGGGTTTATTTTCTTTCTCTTCATCACCAGAAGTGTAGAAAGCACCAAAATAATTGGGATGCAAAGGGAGACTTTAAATTCCGCTTTGTTTCTGTGGAAGTTACCTGTTGGTTTGGCTGCAAATCCTGGTTGATGCATATTAGAAGTTTGGGGGGTGTCGACCTTCAGGTATCCGCTTCTGTCGCAGGAGCACTGAAATGTTCCTTCTAAAGTGTTTTATTTAAACATGGAAATACAGGTGGATTCTCACCACTGGTAATTTGAAATGTAGTAGGATCTATTAGGAGGAACTGAAGTCAAACTGCCTGGTAATCGTTATTTCTCTCATGCTCATCCATGTTGAAGATGTGATGAAATGATCCTTTCTTGCAGGTACTTGGGGTTGCCACCAGTCAAGGCATACGCCTAGAAACGCGAGCTGCCTTGTGCATAGCGAATACTGAATATTCTGTAGTCAAAGGTATTATTTGCAGATGCCTGGGAATAAAGGGCTTACCAAAAATATGTTTTCTGTTCTTCATACTGTTACATAGCTCCACGGGTTGCCCCCAAAAAAGCTGTAAACGTGTTCCAAGTCCATAATAAGGTGGTTTTGGTGAAGCATGCAGGTCTGTGCCGGTCGGTGTGCTGGGACACCATCAGTAATAGCTGCACATCTGCTTCCATCTGGTACCTCTTGATTTTAATGAGCTGGCTGCCCGGGAAGCAGGCTTTCTGGGGGTGGTGCAGCCATGAAAATCAAGTGGAAGGACTGTTAACACCTTTTACTATGCCTTCCATCTCCACTGGATTGGAAGAATAATAAAAAGTAGGGTGAATCTACCTTTGAAGATATTCACCATTGCCTTCTCAGTCTGGACGCCAGAACAGCTTTCTGGGAACCTGGAAGAGCACAAGCACAAATCTTCAGTAGCATGTAAGAACTTTGGATTTTCAGCAAACTGGAAAAGAGCGATAAAAAAGCTGTATTAGCATCCTCGCCCTGCGTGCGCTGGCAGCCAGCTCCAACCCTGTCCTGCGAATCAGATGGGTTTGCTTCAGCGGTAGCTGGACCATGCAGCAGTAAAACAGTAATGCTAGTGATGTAACTGGGAGAAAAATAACATAAAGCCCTGCGTTTTTAGAGTGAGTTGTGATGGTTATGGTCAGCTTTCACAGCAGAATGACCCGGGTTCGTCCCTTCTCATGTAAACCCATGAATCTTTATGGTGTTTGTAAGTCAAACTCAACCACTAGCTGTATACGTTCGCAGTGCTGTAGCTGTGAATGTTGGTCAAGTGGCACTTCAGGGCTTGCTGGCTAAAGCGTGATGGCGAGGTAGAGAATTGAAAGAAGGTGTCTGATTCTGTTTCTGAACTACCACAGCCTTTGTCCAGTGGGATTTGTTTCATTTTTATGTACATTTCTGTGTATGCATTATTCTTGTTTTCTAAATGAGTATGCATGATTATTTGGGGGAACAGGACTACAGGGTGGCAAGGGAGAGACTGGCAGCAAAAGGCAGGCCTTTGGGGAAGCAGGAGCAAGGGACTTGCTTACCCGGCAGGGACTTGTACCAGGAGGTTTAGTGCTGCAGGGAGCGTTTGGCAGGTGCAGGAGAGGCAGCGGTGGGCGCGGAGGTGCGAAGGCAGCAGGCTGAGATGCTGATGCCACCATGGGTGTTCGTTAAGTGAGTGTATCGCTTCTACAGAAGCTAGTTGGGACGCAGAG